TTAATTTAAATATATCAAGTTGATGTAAAATGAATATAGTCAACATAGATAAAAAAAAATATCCAAAATATAAATAGTTGTTATTTATATGAATACCTCATTAGACTTTTATGAATATCTAATAAACTTCTAAATTCAGTGTCACATTAGTACCTTTACCACAGCTTCAGTCTCCTCATAGTTGAGTTTTTGCAAATATTCACTTATAGTTTTTTTACACTGTACTTTATTTAGTGGATATATGTTCAATACACCATTCAGTCTATTATATATGTAGGGATCCAAAAAATATAATATGTGTTTATATAAAACATGAACCAGAGATTAATTATAGAATCTTCTTGTATAAAATAGGTAGTGCCACACACCCAATATTATTACCTGACCTGTTGTTTATCTGAAATTTATCTGTTTGTCGAATGCACCCAACACCGGTTTGAACGACCTATCACAATCAGGTAAGACTGGGAAAGGTCATCACTTCGTCCCCTAGTGAAGCTATTTGTTTTTAATAAATAAATTGTATGGTCATTAACATGTCAAGTTTATAAAAAAAATGTGTACATACACCATGTTTTTTTGCAATTACTTCTGAATTAAGTATTAACATATTAAAGTTTGAAGTCGATTGAAGAATCTCGCATTTTCAATAAATATATCTTGACCTGTTGGTATTTATTTAGGACAATGAGTAACGAATACAATAATCCAAACATAAAATGATTAGCTATAACAAAAGATAACGTAGGGTTTGTTGCACCAAATTACTATAAGGTTAAGCAAACGATAATGAGTTATTTTCTTAACCGATACCGGAGAGTGTCGGTTGCACCACAATTGCAGTTAAAGTTTCTTTCAAATTTGATAAACCTGTCACGCTGACTTCAACATTACAATTCACCATCTGCTTTTTTGGCATAGTGAAACACTAACTTTTACCAACGAAACTTAGGCGGTTGTAGTTTACAGTTTAATTTTAGCATTATCTAACGATTGCCAAATGATAAGTCATTATTATTTGATTAACCGGTACTTTAGCATGTTTGTTAACGTAAAAGTAAGTTAGTGTAACCAACCCTTACGAGCTCTGTTTATATATCACAGCATTTGATTAATAAAAATTAACAGTAAGAATTATAACAGGTTATGTAGGAGTCTTAATATCTCCGACTTGAATCTATGAAACTATTGCTCAAGATATCAATTGAGTGACTCAATGTATTTGGTACTATGCATTAGGTACTCTTGATTTCAAAAGAATGGGCTCAGAATTAGAATACCTATGATAACTATGAAATATGTTCTTTTGATTTCAATGGATTCACAAATGAATTAATACTAAAATACTGTAACATTTTACAAATTAATTTAATTAACGCACGTTGTCCTTTGAAATCAGTTCTGGTCTTAATTTTTATTCAATTTGATTTGTTGTTTTTTTTTTTCAATTTATTACCTACAGACATCAAAAATGGCGTAAAGCTCTTTTACCAAACGCCAGCAAAGTAAATTAGCGTTATGATTTTAACCGGTATAGAGGTACATCATAAATCGGTACACAAGGTATCGATAGTAAGGTTTCGTCATCCGTTGATTTAATGTAACATCATATTAAAATAATTATATACACTTCAGAGGCCACAATAAAAAAAAAGTCTTATTGGGTATTAAGTGAAAGGGATTTATTATTTAGCACTTCAATAGTTTATATGTAATCATAATGTATTTACCAAGCTTAAAAGTCACCTTGCCTCAAACTAGTTATCTAATTTTAACTACTTATAGATGCTGAGTATGATGACACACATAAGTAGAGGCGTAACCCTATACGATAACCAATTTATTGTTCTGTGACTGCGTGTCAATAATTTTTCTTATCATAAATGTAATAAGTCCTTCTTGTTACAACTATATCAAACTATAACTATATATCTATAGTATTGACTCGCCAACAGCTTGTATTATTATGTTTGTCAACGTTTATCATTTTAATTATCTTTTCACGTATTCAGAAATCATTACTGATTATTATAATTAAATCGTAAACAGAAATTACAGTTTAAGTAATAATACTGGTATTTTGAAATTATAATTCTCTAATAAATATATAGTAACTATTTTTCATTGACGGTTAAAAAGAAGGGTGTTTGAGTTTGACATTATACGTCTCTCTGATGCATCGTAGCTCCTAAAGGGGTGGACCGATTTGGATAATTTTTTTTTTTTAGAAAATGGTTTAATCATGAGTTTAATTATGAAAATCGTTGCAGGCATCTGAAGGTCGTCAGCCTTTTCCAAGATTATGTAGGAGTAATAATTCTACTACACTAATAGAGTTGAAACTTGATACATATAGTAAATAAAATAACACAAAGATAATAATATGACCTGATGCTGCAACCAGGATAATCTGTAGAGTACCTAACTCGTCGAAAGCTAACAGCAGATACCATGTTTAGACTGGCTCATTGAAAATAATTTATGAGCTACATGCACTTTACTAAGACGAAGTAACTATTTTTTTTAAATTTCAAATAACAATAAGCTTGACTAAACAAAATTGTCTTTGTAATCGGGAAGCTTTAAAATACAAATGTTCCAATAATCGGTCGCCCGACGGCAATGATTAATTTTTAATGTTTTTATTTAATACCAAATTCTTAATCACTTTACGAGTAATCGGCTTTCGGTCGATCTTATTGTCAGCTAAAAGATGTTGGTCAAAAGCTTTACCAGCCTCCCAAATGTTTTTATATATTTATTTTTATGTCGTAAAATAATATGTGACATATCGATCTGGTGAAGGTCGCGGGAAGCCGCTGGATGCGGGAGGCGCAGGACCGATCGCTTTGTAGATCTTTGGGGGAGGCCCGTGCCCTGCAGTGGGCGTCTCTCGGCTGAAGTGATGATGATAAAAATAATATGGGCGATGTAAAAAAATATTTATTTTAATAAAGAATATTATATTTATTCATCATCACCAGTCCTTATACGTCCCCACTGCAGGAGCTCAGGCCTTCCTTATAGATAGTAAAGGAGGATGGGCATGACCCTCCACGCTGACCCAATGCGGAGTAGCTCTAGATACTCGTAATAATTTTTGGGAAAGTTGCTTAAAAACAACACATCGCGGACAACGGTGCGTATCCGCTACGCCACCGAACTGGACTATATATTGATTACTTACCTACACTTTATTGTCCTATCCATCCAACATTTATAACAATCACGTTTCATAGTAGCTACATAATAAGGGTATGCTAACAAATGTAGAGTCATTACCCAATTTTGGCTTACGTTTCGGAATCATGACGTTTTACAAAATTATGTCTACTAATGTTCTATTGTTGTCAGCTATTGATTCTTTTTTTTATTCGGTATTTTGAAAATCAAAATGGCGGCTTGATAGGACAGCAAAATGGCTTTCGAAAATGCCAATTTCTTCTACGTAAACCTTTCATTGAATGATCGTTTGAGGAAAAAAATAAGAGTAGAAGTTCTAAGGAAGTTGATTTAAGAAGAAATAAAAATATGAACGAAAACAGATAACTGATCATTTTAATTCGTAAGAATGTCAAAAAAGTGAATGAGATATGTTAGGCTGGACCATATCTATCTCAATGTGTCCGGCAATGATATAGTTAGGCATAGAAGATGGCGAAGAGTGCGGCAAAAACTTTTTTATTAATTACTTGTATTTATTATGATTTATTATAAATGTGCTCTGTAAAACCCCTCGGCTACAAATCGATCTACATATTTTTTAACTTTCCCTATAATAATAGAGTTAAATTACGAAAAGAAATACAAATGTGAACTTGCGACTTTATTCTAACAATACTTTTATAATTGTTGTTTTAGTCCTCTTGTTGTAGTTTGCTCTATTTTATTAGATATATTACAGCTATATAAGCTGTAAGTTCTTTGTAAAAAACCAATTTAAAGTTACTGTATTTTTGTACACTCACCCTCTTAAAAGACCTTAGTGTAGCACCCTGTTCTTTAGGTGAACTATTTAGCGTCAAGATAGACATAGATATTCTTTTTTTTTTTAATTATATTACAAGCTGCTTGCAATTAATATTGTTAATTTTTCCACAATCTCTGAGATCACCGTCGATTCCGTCCCGATCAGTTCGAGTTTTTATACTAATACACTTTTTGCCGGTCCGAGCATAATGAGTTTTACCATTAACTGTTTGTTTTTTTTTATCAACATTATTTTACTATGTTTATTGAAACATGTTTTTGTGCAATGTACACCAATCGTGCTAGGTAATAATGCTGGGCACTTAGATTAATGCGATGTAAATATAAGTTCTGTTAATAATTAATCTCTCCTAAAATTTCGACGTCATGACGTACACATATTATGATAGGAGGAAAAAAATTCAATACTAATCCAAGATGGCGGATAATTTGGTAATTCGCATGGTAATGGTACGTTGTGGTCGATAGAACGTTTATAATCGTTAATCATCTAAAATTATATTGTATAAAGTATTCAGATATTTTATAATAATAAGATCCTCTAGAACAGAAGCGTCTCTACTCTAGAGATGTCAATTTGAAAGTCAAACACTTAAGCTTAGATTTTTCGAAGAAATTTGCCTCAACGAATAATATTGCCATTAAAATTTTCACGGCACACCGACGTTCGTGACACACGCATATATTCGCCGTATTTATTTACATATCAATCGCAATTCGCGAACACGAGGTGCGCCTTGAATATTTACACACTAAAACACCTTAAATGCTTCCATGTTTGTATATTATGAAAAACTGTTCACGTTCGATGTAAATACGAGACGGCACCGAGCGAAAACTAGAAAGTTACGCAGACAAGCGCACGCGCACCGTCACACAGACGCATTTGTAGCAATACGACTGAGAAACCGGCTCGGTTTCATAATTCAAAAGCATTGAAAGCTTAAATATTCTAAAAAAAATTATAAATTATTTAATAATCAAATATATTTAACAGAAAAAAAACATACCGTATCAGATTCCTCGAGAAAATTGGACTCCCACAACATATTTTCGTCTAAACAGTCCACACGATACACTGCAGCTTATAAAGTTCAATTGATTTATCTTCTTTTTTTATTGAACAAAATATTTAAATCTTTTATCGGAATCAGTTCATATTCGCGCGCTATGCCGAGAGGAAAGTTCGCATCCCGTGACGTAATTAGGGGAGGGGATTTAATATTCATCCGATACGTTGACGCGACTGCCTGGGCGGCGGCTCAAAGCAGTATGCGCAAAGGCAGCGGAGCCGAGAGAACACGAAGACAAACGACTACACTCGAAGCTACCCGACCGCGCCGACCCACTTCGCTATACTTCGAATCGTTGTGGTCGAGCGGGTGTTTTTTTTTTTCGCATTTTCCAATGAAATAGTACCTAACCATATATGCGGCTGGCAAATCACAAAAAACTCGAGTGGTTTTCCTCTAAGTATATATCTGAGTACCAATGAAAGCTCCTTCACATATTCAATGTTAAATACTAGTAGCAAGTGAAATTTATAAGTTCGTGACTGGGAAATACAAAATTTTGAAGCTCTTTGAAAAGTTGAATAGTTTAAATAGAAAATTACGATCATAAAGTAATTTTAATACTATCTCACCTATAAAAAAGAATTCTATCATGTCATAGACGTTTTATTTAGTCTGATTAAGAACAAGACTTTAGTTAAATATATTAACACTATTCCAATCTCATATATATAAAAATTTTGTGTCACGATGTATGTTGCCAATAAACTCCAAAACTACTGAATCGATTTCAATCAAATTCCACATATACCCGTATTTTGGTCTAATTTACTGGATAGGATAGTTATCATCTCACTTATTCACTTATGCCGTGAATGTAAACGAATAAAATGTTCCAATCAATTGTTTCTTAAGCAAGTGTTTATTTTACCGGAAGAGTTTTATTTCTTCAATTGCGATTCAAGAAATAAATATGGCGGAACGAAGTTCGCCGGGTCAGCTAGTTTATTAGATTTAATAAAGAACGTTTCATAAATTCAACATGCACATTGGTTACTGATGTTGACTGGAGATTATGTTAAGTATTTCTCTTGCAAGTGTATTTAAGGTGATGTACACGCTGGTTTTAATGTGTTGTTGTTTATTAAAATAACTAATCAAAATCCTGACCAAAGGTAAAGGACATTGCTCAACGTCCATACATTGGTGGCCCCAGAGCCAAAAAAATATAGGAAAATACTTATTTTATTGTGTGTCACTAACTTATTCTCATTATGTATTTATTATACCGCGACCGAGTTTTAGAACTTATTATCACGCAAAATATAATTCATTTTGAGGAGGATAATTTGCTTGGAAAACCACCAAGAGATGGCACTCTAAGTACATGATATGATATTGATGTCTATATTGTCGAAGCAAAAAAACTCAACTTTAAGAAAATCGGGTTTTCGTTGTGATTTGTAAAAGTTTCTAAGTCAATCAATAGACAAATAAATCATTCTAATAGTTAAATAATATACCTATTGATAAGCTTAAAATTAAAAAACCTATAGCTTTTTGATGCTTTACATCAAAAGATGACCTTAAATACATAAATGACATGATGTTAAAATGTTTACGAGAAATATAAAGGTAATGATATAGAAACAAAGTAGTTTTTAGGATATGTCGTATGAATATCAATCTTTCTGAATAAACAAGAGTGAATTATCAACAGTTAATTAATTTAGTTTGTATAATATTCAGTTTTTATGTCCTTATGTTGGAAAATCACCAAGAGATGGCGCTTTTAGTAAATTTAAGTTTATTTTCGGTCAATTTAATGTTTTTGTGTTCGATGATTTAAAGGTTATCTAATAAAAATAAATGAATTTTTGATCTGACGTGCAAATTACATCCATCTGACTCAATAGAATTTAAGTTTATTGAATGTGAATATTTGCGAATAAAAATGTTACTATTAAAGTACTTTTAAATATTAATTTTGGATCGCAGCTTGCCTGTGTCAAATAAATATTTGATTCCAATTTAATAAATAAATTAGTAATTATTATTGAAGTATTAATATTTAATGGTATTGGGGTCATTTTCGGCGATGTCCTTTCGAAATAAAACAGCGTACTTACCTATTTGAAAAGAAAATACCTCCAAAACTTATTCTGTATGCACCAAATGTGGCTGTAACGTAGGTCATATGTAAATGCGTCTTATTAAAATGGTGTCGAGGCTTTTTCAGAATTTTACAATCTTTTTTCCAGCTGTGTGTAATTCTAGTATGATGTATATATAAGAATAAATGTAGAATTTGATATCTCATTTATTAAGGGAGAATAAACATATTCCACTAAGGTGAAATCAGATCGGTGAACAAAAATTAATAGATACTACTTACTAATAAAGAAATATAAGATAACATTACATAATGTTGAAATTAAATAGCTAAAGCATTTGTGTTATGAAAATCTAACACAACAAAGGAAATAACATCCAGACTCGAAATTATATAAAAAACTTATTTTCTACATTGATCCGAACGAAAATCGACCTCGGAAATTATTAAGACCCAACCTCAGAGATGGCGACATCTTGAAACTAACGTCCAAGCCAAATGGCTACGGATCTCGTCAAAATTAATTCCTCCTCTGTGCTACGAAAGGGACGGAAAGCTATTGTTGCCCCGTGTTTCTTTTTAAAGGGAAGATCTGATTAGTTATTCAAGACATCTTACCATGACATCTTACTGATCTTTTGTTGGCCTTTTGGTGGATACACGACTAACGGTCAGTTATACAAACGTCCATTAAGGTTTAATTACTTTAAGCTCTAACAAATGTTCTGAATTTGAAAACCATATAATCAGAAATGTCACATTTAACTAATGACAATTTTGGTAACACTCCGTTAATTATCATTCTCTAGCATATCGCCCGCGTAATTCCTAGGAAACTGTCTATTTGGAAATCGATTAATATTATGACATGGATATTATAACTAATAGGTAGTAGTAATAGGAGTTAGAAGAAGAAAGGGCTCAAAGTTGAGGATATAATATAATAAATATAAATAAAATATATGCAAACCAAAATAAGCAGCTAACTTACATGACAGCAAAAGACCAACGACAAAGAAAAATAGAGAATAACATCTCAACAAAAAATTTCCTTACAAAAATATCTCACCGGCCTGCTGGCCAGTTCGTAACATATATAATTATACTAACAAATTAAATAGTAAACAATAGTTACTATAGTGACATTTAAATCCGTCATACAAATTTGCACTCACACTTCAATCCCTTTATTTAGTGTTTTTCGGGATAAAATATAACCTATGTTCATCGCATATGTTGTAGCTTCCTTTAGGTGAAAGAAAATTTAAAATCGGTTTCTTTTTTGTATTGTTTCTTTTTTTTTTTATTTATTGCATTCCACAATGTAGTATTAGGAAGTCTATAAAAAAAAAAAGTATTATTATGGACAAAAGTATCACTATCGAAGCCTATTCGATGCAAACAAAGAAACAATCAAATATTTGCTCTTTATAATATTAGTATAGACATGACATGATCAATTAGTGAAATGAGACAAAATACCGTCGTAACATTGCTTATATGTCGTATCCTATAGTCATGGCTAGAGGTTAGGCCGTCGTGCTCGTGCATGCATTGCATGACGAACTCGAGAACATTTTATCTGCACCCAAATGCCACTCTTCTGGGGTATTCTCATTCAACATCTCACTCTCGACCCGAGAAAAGTGACGTTTGGTGTAGACAAGGCGTTTTTCGAGTTTGCATTCTCAGCGCCTTGGAATATCAGCATTTAAGAATTTAATAGGAAGGCAGTTACCATTCTATTTTACCTATAAGGATCGCTATTCAGCTCTCGCACTTATAATGATAATTTCTATTCGTTTGTTAAGTTTATATTTTCTTTGTTGTGCAATCATGTGTTTAAATAAAATAAGCAACTAAGTTTGCAATATTTGTATTATCTTAGTTAAAGATTACAATTGAATGTTAAAAAAAAAATTTCCCTAACTGATTAAGCTGATATTTTTCATATAAATTATGTTTTGGTAACAATGCATGGTAGGTGGACTAAATTCGCATAATATGGGTATCGAATGAAAAATATACGAAAGTTAAAAATGACTTCATTCTTAATAAAATATGGCGGAATACCCTACATGGCACACTGGTTATGTGTTAAGCACTCTCGTAAGATAACTTTGAAACGAAAATTAACTAATAAACCGCTCTTATTTAAATGAGCTAAAAAGTAAAATTTTATCTAAAGAATATTATAAAAATAATTACACAACAACAAAGAAAACCTCATGTGGTAGCCCATTCTTCCTATTCTATTTTTTTATAATAATAATTTATTGTCTACATGTTACATTGTAAAGATGGTAGCCATATAAACATGATACTTAGATGATACATATTATTTGTCATGATTAATCTTAACAATGTTGTTTCATGTAAGCTAATACAAGACCTGAAAGTTATTCATAGCTACAAGATATATTAAGTTTTAACTTTATTTCTGATTTATTGGCCTTAAAGGATTGAAAAACTTAGGTATATTCATATTCTTAGATTACTTACAACAAAGCTGATAAAACATTATTGATTAAATCATTTACCAAACGGTAGAAGGTTATGAACTAACAATTCATACAAAAATTCCACAGAAACATCACTTGTAGACTCGAGTTTAAACTGAATGAATAAACATGTATCACACGAATAATGTACATCGTTAACTTTTTTATTTATGTTTTTTTTATATTTTCTTGCATACGTCTCACTTATCTCTCTTCATAGAGTTATATTTCCAGCATTTCTCTCCCAGAATGACCTTGCAGCCACTTTTAGATCATCACACCATCAGGCATGTGTTCCACGGACACTACCCTTACAAAAACAAGTATCATAGAGCAATTAAAATAAAATTATTACTTTCATAAACTGATATCAACCATGATCGATGATATTCAGAAAAAGCACCAATTTAGTTGTTATTCTGACAAAAGTTAATTTCAAGGTACTCAGCGTGACGAAATTGTCTATTAAAATTGTATCATAGACAAACACATATTTCACATTTTATTTGGTTCCTTATTAAACATATTTACATAAATTCTCTTCCCTTATAATTTAACCACAGCTTAGCAAAGTTATATATTTTTATTTACTATAATATAAATTCTTTCCTGCCGCAATGTAAATTATCTAAAACAGTAACAG